CCAAAAATACAAAAAATTTAGCTGGGCGTGGTGACACGTGTCCGTAATCCCAGCTACTTGAGAGGCTGAGGCAGGAGAATTGATTGATCCCAGGAAGCAGAGGTTGCAGTGAGACAAGATGGCACCACTGCACTCCAGTCTGGGCAACAGAGCAAAAGTCCGTTTCCAAAAAAAAAAAAAAAAAAAAGTAATATTTTCTGAACAACTAGAAATTTTCATAGAGATGACAGTCTGTCATTTAGGTCAAATAAAGGGTAGGTACAATCAGTTCCTTGAAGCTCTGGCCATCCTAATGGGATAATAAATGAAACAAACTGATTTTAAGACAGAAAATAAAAATATAAAAACTATTTTCCTCAGCTAAGAAATAAACAAAATGTTACTTCTCCTGTAAAAGCTTACCTAAAAATACATTATTAGGAGTTTTACTCAAATAACTTTTTGTCTTCTAAATTCACTCACCAAAGCTGCAAAAGCCCATCCAGTTTTATTAAAGAGAAATTCCATATTGCTTCTTCGAAGATATACAAGTCCACCAATAACAGCCAAAAGCAATCCCAGCATAAGGGGACCAGCATAATTTGGGGGTCTAATCACTCTAATCTAATGGAAAGGAGAGAAAAACATGTTAAAGTATAAATTTCTTTACTAATTCTGTGGGTCAAAATAAAATCTGAAGTGAAAGCAATCAAAATTAGTGTGGTTACTTTCAGAAAAAATAATCCTTTTATTTTATCCCAATCAAAATAGTCTATAATGTAACCTAAAATAGGACAGAATAGGTACAATATTCTATTTAACTACAACATAACATCTTTTAGATTAAGAAGGATTTGCCAAGTACAAATGGATAACCTGTGAACTTGAGAAGGTCGAAAGAGTGGTTTCCATACTGAATTTAACAGGGTAATAGAGGGTGTTTTGTAATTTCACTCATTCATCAGGATGATTCTGTTTAATGCTACTTATGAAGGGATTGCCAAACTACTACCACCACAGTGATATGGGGACAAGACTAATTAGGGCCTCCCAGTAAGATTCAAAAAGAAACTGTCTATAAAGTGAGGAAACTTACATTGACATCAGTTCTGTCTGCGATCCACCGGGCAATCTGCTCAGCTGAAAAACCCCGCACCTGCAACTCATACGTATCACCCCGTTTGGGTTTCCCTTTTGCGGGAAAGTTGATGAAAGTTGGAGCTGAATTCATGTTTAGCTGAATAAAAAGGAGCCCATGAAAATATACATTATCAGGAAAATAATCTTAATCACAGTTAACATCTTGAAATTTAGGCATTTTACAAAGACGAGGAGGCTTGGGTTTAGATAGGTTAAGTGATTTGATTTGCCTAAGGAGAGTGAAAACTGGTGGAGCCAGGCTTCAAACGCAAAGCTGCCTGTGACCTTAAGTATTACACCTGACTGACCAAATATACATTTATTAATATTTCCTGTGTTGTCTTCTCAAATATATCACCATGTCATGATGGAGAATAGAGGAATGTGATGCTCATCAGTAAACATTTATGAACCTTCTTAGAGTTGACTACTTCTGCATATAGCTACCATTTTGTATTGTCTTCCACTGCCATTTTAGGGCATTATCTTATTATCTTGGTTCCTTCAAATTGAGAATGCACTCTATTTGGAGCTTACCTGAGCTTACATAAAATTATCTTAGTGCTCATAAATGTATTCATTTTGCATAATCTCTGAACAGATTAAAATATCTGTGGTATGGCAAAGTTTCCATTCTAATGGAGTAAAATACAGGTTTCTTAGCTAGGAATGTATATTTGGTCAGATCTTTTTGACATATATGTGTATATACCACCAGAAAACATATAATATTGCTATCTGTTTTATTTTAACATAAATGGTACCATATTAATGGTATAATTCTGCAATTTGCTTTAATTCTACCATTTTTGAAAGATCTATGATATATATATACACATATGTATGTGTATATTACATGTACATGCATATACATCACTTATATGCACTTGCATTTATGTAAATGCAGGTGCAAATAAATATATAAAGCCAACCTCACTCTCACAGTTATTATGCTGTTGTTGGACTTAGAGAGTTTTTTTTCCTTTTTATCAACTAAAAATTATGTTGCAGTGAGCATCCTTATGCTTATCTCCCTATACCCATGTGAAAGTGATTCTCTAGAAATGGGATTGTTAGGTCATCATTTTTAAATTAGCTGGGTGTGGTGGCTCACACCTGTAATCCCAGCACTTTGGGAGACCAAGGTGGGCAGATCATGAGGTCAAGAGACCAACCTGGCCAACATAGTGAAACCCCATGTCTACTAATAATACAAAAATTAGCTGGGCGTGGTGGTGCGTGCTTGTAGTCCCAGCTACTTGGGAGGCTGAGGCAGGAGAATTGCTTGAACCTGGGAGGGGGAGGTTGCAGTGAGCCGAGATCACGCCACTGCACTCCAGCCTGGTGACAGAGTGAGACTCCATCTCAAAAAAGAGAGAAAGAAACATTTTGAAATTAAAATGGATATAGTGGCCAGGTGTGGTGACTCATGCCTGTAATCCCAGCACTTTGGGAGGCCAAGGCAGGTAGATCACTTGACTCTAGGAGTTTGAGATCACCCTGGCCAACATGGTAAAACCCCGTCTCTATTAAAAATACAAACATTAACCCGGTGTGGTGGTGGGCGCCTGTAATCCCAGTTACTCAGGAGGCTGAGGCACGAGAATCACTTGATCCCAGGAGGCAGAGGTGGCAGTGAGCTGAGATTGTGCCACTGCACTCCAGCCTGGCAACACAGCAAGATTCTGTCTCAAAAACAAAAACAAAAACAAAAAAACCATGGATATAGCCACATTGCCCTCCAAAGTGGCTGTGCCGAAATACACTACTACCTAACAATGTAGTGATGTATTCATTTCCCTACATCCTTGCCAAAAATTGATCTGATGTGTGAAGACTGAACTTTATCATTATGGTACTACTAATTTGTGTTTCCCTGATTACTAATAAGATAGCTTTATAACAAATAAGTTATTTGAAAACATCTTTTTGTTTTTTGAGAAGGAGTCTGACTCTGTTGCCCAGGCTGGAGTGCAGTGGTGCAATCTAGTCTTACCTCAATCTCCACTTCCTGGGTTCAAGTGATTATCCCGCCTTAGCCTCCCGAGTAGCTGGGATTACATGCATGCACCATGATGCCCAGCTACTTTTTTTCATATTTTTAGTAGAGACAGGGTTTTACCATGTTGGCCAAGGTAGTCTCAAACTCATGACCTCAAGGAATCCACCCGCCTCAGCCTCACAAAGTGCTGTGATTAGAGGCATGAGCCACCACACCCAGCCTGAAAACATCTTATAGCCCAATGACACAATCAACAGAGTGAAAAGAAAATCTGTGGAATGGGAGGAATTATCTGCAAATCATTTATCTAATAAGGAGTTAATATTCAGAATAGTTTGGGTACAGTGGCTCATGGCTGTAAGCCAGCACTTTCGGAGGCCAAGGCAGGTGTATCACTTGAAGCCAGGAGTTCGACACCAGCCTGGGCAGCATAGCGAAACCCCGTCTCTAATAAAAATACAAAAATTAGCCAAGCATGGTGGCACATGCCTGTAATCCTGGCTACCTGGGTGGCTGAGACATGAGAATCGCTTGGACCTGGGAGGCAGAGATTGCAGTGAGCCGAGATTGTGCCACTGTACTCCAGCCTGGGTGACAGAGTGAAGCTCTGTCTCAAAAAACAAAGAAACAAAATACAATAACAACAACAAAATTTATAAAATATAAAGACCTCCTACAACTCAGCAACAAAAAACAACTTGATTTAAAAATGGGCAACACACACACACACACACAATAGGCAAAGAACTTGAATAGATTATTTCTCCAAAGAAGATACACAAATGGCCAACAAACACATGAAAAGATGTTTAACATTACTAATCATTATGGAAATAAAAACCAAAACCACGAGATACCAACTCACTAATTAAGATGGCTATTATCCAAAACAAACAAACAAAAAACCAGAAAACAACAAGTAGTTGCAAGCATGTGGAGAAACTGGAACACCTGTACACCATTGGTGGGAAAATAAAATGGTGCCTCTGCTATGGAAAACAGCATGGAGGTTCTCCAAAATATTAAAAATAGAATTACCATATGATCTGGCAATTCCACTTCTAAGTGTATAACCAAAAGAAATGAAAGTAGGTCTTACAGAGATAATCTGAATACTCATGTTCATAGCAGCACTGTTCATGATAGCCAAAAGGTGGGAGCAACCTAAGTATCCACTAACAAATGTATGGGTAAACAAAAGAAGGTATATACATACAATGCAATATTATTCAGCTTTGAAAAGGAAGTAAGTTCTGACACATGCTATAATATGGATGAATATTGAGGACACAATACTAAGTGAAATAAGTTAGTCACAAGAAGACAAACACTATATGATTTCACTTATAGTAGGTACCTAGTCAAATTCATAGAGACAAAGTAGAATGGCAGTTGTCAAGGACTTGGGGAGTGGTGAACTGAAGTTATTTAATGGCTATAAAGTTTCAGTTTTGGAAGATAAAATAATTCTGGAGATTAGTTGCACAACAATGTGAATGTACCTAACACTACTGACCTGTATGTTAAAAAAATGGTAAAGATGGTAAATTTTGCATTATGTATATTTTGCCACTACTAAAAATTACAAAAAAAAAAAACCCCACCAAAAACCCTTGTAGACTTTGAAATTCCTTGGAGGTTAATGAGCCAAAATAAGATATACTATTTTAGGTAGGTATCACTTTTCATACATGCTTAGCTTTTGTATACTATGGCATGTGACACTGTTACTTGGAGAAAGATTTGAATCTCTTCCACAGATGGACACACTACCATCCCTATACCTTTAGCTCTAAAATCTAGTTCTAAAATAGGATAATGGAAATTAATATTAAAAACTACTCAAGGTAAAAAAGTGTAAGCAATAAAAACAAAAATAGGATTGCTGTGCCCCAACTCCCTCAGGGCCTGTGTTGCGGGATTCCCTGCTGCTATGAGCTTCCTCAAAAGTTTCCCGCCGCCTGGGCCGGCGGAGGGGCTCCTGCGGCAGCAGCCAGACACCGAGGCTGTGCTGAACGGGAAGGGCCTTGGCACCGGTACCCTTTACATCGCTGAGAGCCGCCTGTCTTGGTTAGATGGCTCCGGATTAGGATTCTCGCTGGAATACCCCACCATTAGCTTACATGCATTGTCCAGGGACAGAAGTGACTGTCTGGGAGAGCACTTGTATGTTATGGTGAATGCCAAATTTGAAGAAGAATCAAAAGAATCTGTTGCTGATGAAGAAGAAGAAGACAGTGATGATGATGTTGAACCTATTACTGAATTTAGATTTGTGCCTAGTGATAAATCAGCATATGGTATGGAGGTGGATACCACACCAACAGTTGCTGGATAGTTTGAGGATGCAGATGTTGATCACTGAAAATGATATATGCAGATTTAAGATTCTGCTCCTAACTATAGGAGAGAACTTGGTGCCTCTTCCACTCTGGAGCGAAGTTGATGAAAATCTTTTTCCTTTTCCAAAACCCAACCTGAACCAGTTCTTTCTTGAGACAGATTATACTGAGACAAGTTGTCACCAGCAGAACATAGATAATCTGACCTTTATTAACTTGATGAATTAACTTAACCAAGAGGGTATTTATAATTGATTATTTACCCCAAAACTTTCTGTGTCTGGGTACCCTCTGAGTAGGCCTATAATTCCTGCCTTCACTGTATCCATCTTCTATAAGCTAGCAGATCCATCTGTGTGGTGAAAATGCACAGGAGCGTGGTGTAGGTAGACTGGGTGGGAAAGAGAGAGCTCCTTTCGCCATGTTTTACTAGTCTGCTCTGTTATAACCTCTTAGGTTATATCCTTTAATTTCCAACCTTTTAGGTTAGTTTCTGTAACAGAACAAGTGAGTCTGGGATGAAGTCCTCAGAGTACTTCAAGTGGTAATTGTTTTGTTTTTGTAATAGCTTAACAAATAAACCTAGGTTTTCTAAAAAAAAAAACAAAAAAAAAAATAGACAAATGGGACTATATTAAGCTAAAAAAGCTTCTGCACAGCAAAGGAAACAATCAACAAAGTGAAGAGACAATTTGTTTAATGGAAGCAAATATTTACAAACTATTCAACAAGGAACTAATATCAAGAATATACAAAAAAATCAAACAATACTAAAAAGAAAACAAAAATCAAAAAAATTCAAATCACTCAACAGTAAAAAAGCAAATAATCCCATTAAAAAGTGGGCAAAGGCAATGAATAGACATTTCTCAAAAGAAGACACACATAGCCAACAGGTGTATGAAAAAATGCTCAACATCACTAATCATGAGGGAAACACAAATCAAAACCACAGGGAGATATCATCTTCTCCTAGGTGGCGTGGCTATTATCAAAAAGAAAAGCTCCTTTTCTGCTGGTCTGTCTGTATTAAAAAGAAAAGCTCATTTTTTGCTGGTTTGTCTACTGCCTCCTTGCAATGTGTTTTCCTACTTTCTCTAATAAATCTGCTTTTCTTTACTTCAAACCACCAACCAAAAACTGGTGAGTATGTAGCTAGCAAAAGGGAACTCATGGCCAGGCATGGTGGCTCAAACCTGTAATCCCAGCACTTTGGGAGGCCGAGGAGGGCGGATCATCTGAGGTCAGGAGTTCGAGACCAGCCTGGCCAACATGGGAAAACCCCATCTGTACTAAAAATACAAAAATTAGCTGGGCGTGGTGACATGCGCCTGTAATCCCAGCTGCTTAGGAGGCTGAGGCAAGAGAATCGCTTGAAACCACAAGGCGGAGATTGCAGTGAGCCAAGATCTGTACTCCTGCCTGGGTGACAGAGCAAGACTCTGTCTCCAAAAAAAAAAAAAAAAAAAAAAAAGGAACTCATACACTATTGGTAGGAATGAGTGAGTGAAAAGGAAAAGAAATCAGTATATCAAAGGGATACCTGCACCTGCACCCCCATGTTTACTGCAGCAGAATAGCAAAGATATGGAATCAACCTAAGCATCCATCAACAGATGAACAGATCAAGAAAATGTGGTGTTAGGCTGGGCGTGGTGGCTCATGCCTGTAATCCCAGCACTTTGGGAGGCCAAGGCAGGTGGATCAGTTGAGCTTAGGAGTTGGAGATCGGCCTGGCCAACATGGTGAAACCCCATCTCTATTAAAAATATGAAAAAATTAGCCAGGTGTGGTGGTGCATGCCTGTAATCCCAGCTACTTGGGATGCTGAGGCAGGAGAATTGCTTGAACCTGAGAAATTGCAGTGGGCTGATATTGCGCCACTGTACTCTAGCCTGGGCGACAGAGACACTGTCTCAAAGAAAAAGAAAATGTGGTATATATATACAATGAAATACTACTCCACCATAAAAAAGAATGAAATCATGTTATTTTCAGCAACATGGATGGAACTAGAGGTTAATATGTGAAATAAGCCAGGTGCAGAAAGACAAATATGGCATGTTCTCACATATGGGAGCTAAAAAAGTTGAACTCATGGAGGTACAGAGTAGAATGGCAGATACCAGAGTCTGGGAAGAGTGTATGTGTGGCAGGTGGGGGGTGGGGCAGACAGGGCAATGAAGAGAGGTTGGTTAATGGGTACACTCATACAGTTAGAAGGAGTAAGATCTAATGTTCGATAGCAGAGTACGGTGACTATAATTAACAACAATATATTATATATTTCAAAACAGCTATAAGAGAGGACTTGAAATGTTCTCAACATATAGAAATAATAAATATTCAAGGTGACAGATACTCCAACTATCCTGACTTGATTATTCTATGCAGTTAACAAAATATCACATGTACACATTTATAAATATGTATAAATATTATGTTATCAGTAAAAAAAACTATTTGAGGTAGAAAAAACTGGGTTTTCTATTTTTACAAATCACTAACAGAAGTTATGTGTTATCTTCTTAAAATAAATGGAATTAAAATTTTTAATTTCTGAAATAATTACAACCTAAATAGTACAGAATTAAAAAGCAATTTTTTTTTGAGACAAAGTATTGCTCTATCACCCAGGCTGGAGTGCAGTGGCATGATCTTGTCTCACTGCACCCCCCACCTCCTGGGTTCAAGCAATTTTCCTGTCTCAGCCTCCCAAGTAGCTGGGATTACAGGCGTCTGACACTACGTCTGGCTAAATTTTGCATTTTTAGTAGAGATGGGATTTCACCGTGTTGGTCAGGCTGGTGTCAAACTCCTGACCTCAAGGGATCCCCCCTGCCTAGGCCTCCCACCAAGTGTTGGGATTACAGGTGTGAGCCACCACGCCCAACCTCAATTTCTTAAACTCTAGAAATTGTTTCCTTTGGTCTAATAAATTCTAAATGCACTAACTCTTTAGGTTACAATATTTTTATAAATGCACTGATTTTGATTTATGGAGACTGCTATGTGAGATTGGAATATGAATAGCACAATGAATTATATATTGTAAAATGGGAACATTAAGCCATTTTTTTCAACATTTACTGAATACCCATTATGTGATTAGCACTGATAGCCATAGAATATGGCTCTGCCATTAACTAAGTAGTAACTATATTCTAAGGGAGACTTTCAAACAACTACAGAGCTAACTCTACTGTAAGACAAAATGTGGATTAACGTATAACAGAAATTTAAGGCAAGTAGGATAACAATACAAGCAAAGGAATGACTACTTTTTATCTGGAGAAGTTGAAAAAGCTTACAGGGAGTATCTGAAACAAGGCTTAAAATGTAAGCAGAATTTTGAGAGTGGAGAGAAAGCAGGCAGGGAAGGAAGGAGGCTTCATGTTGTTATAAATGAACAATCAACAGTGCTGACATAAGAGTGCATCAAAGAATACGATTATGGGAATGGTATGACTGGAGTAAAGAGTACATGAAGTTAGAAAGACTAAGGAATTCTGGCTTCAGTCTATACACTACTCCTTCCAGAAGTGTGTTGCAAACTGAGGGCGGTGGCTCACACCTATAATCCCAGCACTTTGGGAGGCCAAGTCAGGCGGATCAGAAGGCCAGGAGTTCGAAATCAGCCTGGTCAACATAGTGAAACCCTGTCTCTACAAAAAATACAAAAAATTAGCCAGGTGTGGTGGTGGGTGTCTATAATTCCAGCTACCCGGGAGGCTGAGGCAGGAGAATCGCATAAACCCAGGAGACAGACGTTGCAGTGAAACAAGATCGAGCCATTGTACTCCAGCCCAAGTGAGACTCCACCTCAAAAACAAAACAAACAAGAAAAAAACTGTGTTCCATGGAATCTAGCCAAATGCTCCATTAAGTGATCTGGTAATATGAGAAATTCTGTATATTAGAGCCTCCACTGGAAAATATAACACATACCAGCATCAGCATGTTAACGTCTCTGATCTCTGAAAAGCTGTGTTGGGAGACAATTCATGACTTTCTCATGTTTCTGCACATCTTGTGGGTAAAGACACTAACTGCCTTTGTTCTGGACAATCTTCTCAAGGATATCTGTGTATCTTTGGAAGACAGTTGAAACTGCCTTTGCAAAATTATGACTGAGACAGAGTGAAAGAGATCCAACTTAACTGACTCCAACTTGCTTCGAACCTCCAAGCCATCCTTGTTCATTCCTGGTTGTAGGCTGAACTAATTTTAGGAGAAATTTATTTTTTAGTTTATAGTTTAAACAAAGATGGTGACAGCATTTTCCCAAAGCACACTTCCTTCTTGCCTGGGAACTAGACTGTCTTTGTATGACTAACATTAGCCACAAGATGAAAAATTATGGTTTAGGAGTCATGCAGCTGGAGGCTACAAGATTCTGACCCTCCCTAAACTGTTCCTAAGATCAGTGCTTGAGATATTTTGCAGACTCTGCACTTGATGGATCAGCTCACACCACCCAGATCAATAAACTGGCTCATCTGATCTTGTGACTCCTACCCATGAACTGACTCAGCAGCAAGAAGACAGCTCTAACTCCCTATGATTTCACCTCTGACCAATCAGCACTCCTGGTTCACAGGCTTTACCCCACCCACCAAGTTATCTTTAAAAACTCTGCTCCTCGAATGCTTGGGGAGATTGATTTGAGTAATAATAAAACTCTGGTCTCCCGCAGAGCTGGCTCTGTGTGAATTACTTTCTCTATTGAAATTCCTCTGTCTTGATGAATTGGCTCTGTCTAGGCAGTGGGCAAGATGAAACCCTTGGGTGGTTACACAGTCTCCCTCCACAGCAAAGGGGAGGCACACTTACTATCCATTACAGAAAATGTGGGTCCCCAGAACTTGGTGTTCCTCTCCCATAATGCAGCCCATTGGCCCTCTTTGTTGTTTTCTTAAGAGTTGGTGGGCTGGGCGCGGTGGCTCACGCCTGTAATCCCAGCACTTTGGGAGGCTGAGGCAGGCAGATCACCTGAGGTCAGGAGTTCGAGACCAGCCTGAACAATATGGTGAAACTCTATCTTTTTTTAAAAAAAAAAAAAAAAAGAGTTGGTGTGAGTGTAAATTAGTTCAACCATTGTGGAAGACACTGTGGCGATTCCTCAAGGATCTAGAAATAGAAATACTATTTGACCCAGCAATCCCATTACTGGGTATATACCTAAAGGATTATAAATCATTTTATTATAAAGACACATGCACATTTAGGTTTGCTGCGGCACTGTTTACAATAGCAAAGACTTGGAACCAACCCAAAGGTCCATCAATGATAGACTGAATAAAGAAAATGTGGCACATATACACCATGGAATACTATGCAGCCATAAAAAGGACGAGTTCGTGTCCTTTGCAGGGACCTGGATGAAGCTGGAAACCATCATTCTCAGCAAACTGACACAAGAACAGAAAACCGGCCGGGTGCGGTGGCTCAAGCCTGTAATCCCAGCACCTTGGGAGGCCGAGTTGGTGGATCACGAGGTCAAGAGATCGAGACCATCCTGGTCAGCATGGTGAAACCCCGTCTCTACTAAAAATACAAAAAGTTAGCTGGGCATGGTGGTGTGTGCCTGTAATCCCAGCTACTCAGGAGGCTGAG